GAATGACTAGTTGGCGTTGTGCTGAAGTGATCTTATCCCCACAAGGGCGATATTTCTGCTTGTTGGGGAAGGCAGTGGGTCTATTCTTGTTATCCCTATTCTGGAGCCCCGGAACCCAGGAGGAGATCTAGTCTAGTGTATCCACTAATCTGTCATTGCTTCATAACCTTCTATGATCGACGGGTAACACATGTAAGTTTATATCTCAATCTGTGAACAGTCTGCTCCGGGTCAATTATTTTGTTGGGGTGGGGGTGGGGGGGGAGCGAGGGGGGCAGAAGGAAACGAGATAATTCAGTGGCTTGTAGAGAGGGGAGAGACACACACAGGCAGAGAAGAAGCAGTTGATCAGACTGGAATAGATGGAGACGAGACGAAAAAGAGCAAACGGAGAGAGGATAGAGGATGCACAGCAGTGAGAGAAAGTGGATTTACACTCCGTGTATGAAAGAGAGAGACCAGACAGTGAAACATAAGAGAGTAATGGACCGAGACGATATGTCTATGTGTGTGTTAGAGATGGAAAGAGAGAGAGAGAGAGAGAGAGAGAGAGAGAGAGAGAGAGAGAGAGAGAAAAGATATTTCTCCCACCTACCAAGACCACCATGACTCCGCCGACAGACGGTGAGGTAAACGGAGGTCTGATGGCTGGAGCTCACGCACCAGACGCCTAACGACGCTAATCAGAACTCAGGACGCTCGACTGGAGACGAGCACAGGTTAGCTGTCTGCAGACAGGCGTCATTTATGCCGCCGCTCAATGTGCCCCTCTTGGCCTCGTACCCGTGTCTTTCGTGGCTTCGTCTTCATATTTTTGCGTAAGTAATTAAAAGAAAACGTGTTCAAGAGGTTTACATTTATGTGTCTTAAGAAGAACACCCATCTACAGTTTCCGTTTTAATACAAAGCGACTGATATTTTAACGCAGTGGTTCCCTAACTTCCCAGGCAGATGTACTAGGACTTGGAAGAAACAGGCACATGTACTAGGACTTGGAAGAAACAGGCAGATGTACTAGGACTTGGAAGAAACGGGCAGATGTACTAGGATTCGGAAGAAACAGGCAGATGTACTAGGACTGGAAGAAACTGACAGATGTACTACGATTTGAAAGAGACGGTCAGATTTACTACGACTTGGAAGCAGGGTTGCCAGATAAAAAAATTAATTTTATGCCAAACCATTACCCAAAATATGCCAAATAAAGTATAACATTGTACCCACTTTACATCGAAAGTTCTAGATTGAATTCTTCACTGTCATCCTCACTGGAACAAGTGGACGACACAGCGTAAACCTTTTCGGATTTAAAATCTTTAAGCATTTTCTCTGATGGGATGAAGTCTTTGCAACTCATCTATAATTATGGTATATATCTTGTTCCAAAAATCACCAATAAGGTCATCCTTAAGTGCAGGCGATTTAATATTTTTTATAAGCATGAACATTTAGTTCTACGCAACTGTATGTGCTCCAATGTACTTTCCCGACCATTCGCTCTCGTGATTTCACTTAGATGATCAATTATGCGTCACAATGGCAGGTCATGTCTACAGCAAGTTGCAACTCTGCTGCCTTTAACTTTATCATTACTTTGCCCAGGAGTCATTGTTGTAATAAGCTGTGACTGGATTTCTGACAGTTTTCATCCTGTTTTTCGGATTTTTCATGATTTGATATGCTACTAATACTTGGTGCATAAGTGCACTGATACAGTTTACAATATGCTACCTCTGATCCATCTGAAGATCTTTTGAGACACGAGTATGTTTTCTTCCAGTTACTATTATACTTGTGATGTAGTAAGTTGCTTTCCATTTCTTTTACGGGAGGGGGGGGGGCGACGTGACCATTGGTAAAAGTAATAAAATCTATCACAGATAGAACTATGTCTATATCCTCTCTATTTTCTGTCTTCAAGTAGTTTTTGAACAGTCTGAATCACTTGGTATCAGTGGTGAGTTTTGGTTTTATATCCCGCATTTATTCTAGTAGATTAACATAAATTACAGAGGGTCTTGGTTTTATTGAAGTCACGATCTGCTTAGGAAGACAAGAAATACAATTAGAGATGGCGCGAATCTACGTTAGTCCGGACCAGGACATCAAAACAAAGTCAAAGTGAAACAAAGATGTTAACTGTAGGTCTACATTGCTTTTAGTAAATCTGCGTGTTTCTAACGGAGAAACCATGAAGCAAATAAGAGCACATCTTGATAAGAAGAGCCAGGAAAAACCCAAATATGCCAGTTGACTATCTTATGCCAGTACATTTTTAAATATGCCAAATTTGTGGCATCTGGCATAAAAAATGCCAATATGGCAACCCTGCTTGGAAGGAATGTTCGCAGCCAAACCTGTAACGCCGGGCCCAAAGTGAAAACCTTTGAACTATTACCTGTTGAGTAATAAGGGAGGCTACGACGACATGAGCAGTGACACACACTGAAGGCAGCAGGATGTCCTCGATGAACCACTGACAGCTTGTCAACTAACTCTGAAGGAAACAGCTTCAAAGTTGGACTCGTTGCAGAACAGTGTATTAATCACACGAAAAGTGAGACAATAACACGTTGTTTCGCATGTCTATGTAATAGTTTAACACTTACTGTAGTTATTCGGCTTCACTTTTTTCGTTTGGTTATGTTGTTTTTTGCTGTTTGTAGATAGAACCTTTCGCTACAAGATCTCTCTCTCTCTCTCTCTCTCTCTCTCTCTCTCTCTCTCTCTCTCTCTCTCTCTCTCTCTCTCTCTCTCTCTCTCTCTCTCTCTCTCTCTCTATATATATATATATATATATATATATATATATATATATATATATATATATAATCAGGTGCCTTGCCGACTGGCGTTGGCGATCACGCCTCTCCATAATCCACGATCTCCTGCAGCATGTAATATGTAATACATATATATATGTAAGACAACCTAATTAATTGGTATTATCCAACTGCTTGTGTGACAGGAAGAGAAAGGTTAAGGGGAGAGAGAGTGTGTGAAAGAGACTGTCAGAGAGTAATATAATGACATACATAATTCAATACTAGACCTTAGATACACAGGACTACAAGTTTACCGACTGATGGAGCCGTTACCAGTGCCCCAATTATAACTCCTGATGTTGAATGGGGTATCTGGAATTTGCCCTGCCGGTCTGACATCCTGACCGAGACTTTGTCAAACCTTCAGGCAGCAGTCCGGAGAAGATAAACAGCAACAACGCATGCATACAATACTAGATACAGAGATCAGCATAATAGATGCTGAAAGTTCGGAAATGACAATTTCACTAGAATGTGTATAGTATTGACAAGGCGCTCGATATGTGAGTACAGACAGAGGATCAGCAAGTAACCGCTAAACGAGCAGGATATTACATATCAATAACGGATGTTGCAGATTAACTTTTTCAATAACAACAGGTTTCACAGGAGATACTAAAGGGAAGAAATAACCACGATAAAAAACATGAATACGCTACATTCAAAATGGCACTAAACACAGTTAAAGTGGCCAATGGGCGAAGCCGTATTTCTTTAATACGTTCCTAACATTTTAAAAACTAAAGAGCATCTTATTTTACAAAGCTTGATCAAATGTTAATTCATTTAAAATCGGTACGCATACACGGATAAGTATGAAATGAAGTGCAAACATGTAGTGTTGTCTGAGTGTATGAATGTCGAGTGATTGTACGCATACACTTAGTTGTGTGCGTCTGTATATTCCGGGGATTCATACTCAAAACCATCCTATTCCACATCATGCATACAACATAAACATAACTGGTGGGGCTAATAACAGGATATGACTGACAGCAAAATGGGAAAACAAGTGGATCGATACTGACAGGACTAGAACACTTAACCACCAGTTCCACCACATCAGTGGGCTGATAGCAAAGGTTGGTGACGTGATAAGTATAATTCCGTCTAAAGGCCACGCTAGAATCCAGCAAGACAGCAACGACAAGGAATGACTGAATGGCTTACCGTCCTCTTTTCCCTCACCCTTCCCTACCTCTTCCGGATGCACTATGAGTTCAATCCCCCACCCCATTCCCACAGAAAGCACTTGAGTTCGGTACCCAACATGCCACAACAATTCTCATCGCCGAACATTTGGATCTCAGAGCGTGAGCTGGGTATTCGGGTATATGGTATTTATGTACACCGGAGCCTAGCTGCCAACCCAGACCAACACAACCTTATCACGCAATAAAAAAATAACGAATAAAACCGCTTTGAGGCTCCACCTAACATTTCACACATCCACGACATGGCTAACACGTTCTTATTGCAGAAAGACAACCCTAAGACCACAATGGTCACACGCGGATTTTTTTTTTTCACATTTGGCATCTATCCAAATCTAAAAACTGTTTTCAGTACTTTTTTGGCAAAGTAAAATACTCAAAATATTTACACTATAAATGGTGGTCCAAAAGACGCTATGCATAGAAGTTCGCTCTCCTACGAAATACGCCTGGCCAAATCAGAGGGAGGTGAAACCAAGGAGGAAACACCTGGAAGAAAAAGGAAAGAAGTACACAGCTAACAACTTGGCAGAGAACGAGCGGTTTACTCGAAGGGAGGAAGCACCAAGCCCAGATATGGCGCAAATACTAAAACTTTAGTCACGAAAGTGACGCAAATAAACCAGATCACAAATATAGGCAGAGACAGTTAGCAGCCTCGGCTAGCTAGCAGCAGTCTGAAAGTGGTCGAACTTTAAATTTTTTTTTTTCTTAAAAGGAATCGGAATCGGAAAGATTCATTTAAATATCAAGCTTTGCTTGGGACTAATCTTAGAAGCTGCAGCAGTAGTAACAACAGTACGAGCGGTAGTGGTAACTGGTATTAGTAGCAATAGCAGCATCATTTGTTGTTGTAGTTGTGGTAGTGGTGTTTTGTTTTTGTACAGCAAAAGCGCAGCAGTGTTAAAAGTGAAAGAAATGCAAGGCAACAGAAAACGAGAAAACTCAACAATCGACTTACCTTTCCCGAAAGCGATCTCAATGTCCACCGCATTGATGTCACTGCTTGTGTCCTCGATGAAGCGAAGAGGGATGACCTCGCTCCACATCCGAAAGGCGAGGTCGATGGTGGCCCTCTGATCCTCCACTGGGATTCTAGTACTAAACCCTGTAGTCAGAAGTCGCCAACGAATAACTTCCTTGTTGAAAAGGACGCCCTTATCTCCGTCGAAATGTTCCAGATGTTGGTTGTTGCTTGTTAATACATGAACGGAACGTTTTCTTCTTTCTGTCTGATAAGTATGGAAAACTGTTCTTTTAACTGTTGTTTCAGAATGAATCTTCTTCTTAAAGTCCGACAGATACCGTCTATGATATGCTTGTGTTCGCGTGGTTGGTTTTTTACCTGCCAGAACTTCATAAAGTTTACTTCTGGAAGGGGGAGCCGATCGTTTCCAGAGCCGATGAGTTTTCGCCAACGACGATTTGTTATCTTCGCCATCCTCAGTGAGAACGCTGCTAGCATGTTTCTGTTGGGCACTGTCATTTTTGTTTATGGAAATATCTACAAGGTTTTGATCTTTCTCTTTAGCTTTGATCTGATCCTTCTCGCGGTCTTTGTTGCCACATCTGGACGTGCTCATCAGTGACTTTGTCTCGTCGTCCAGCTCTCCAGTTTCTGGAAGATTATACGTTCTTTGGTAGTTCCTAATCGCTTTCTGAACTTCTTTCTCGTCACAGATTTCGCCGCCTTCCTCTAACCCCATTCCCATTCCCGGAAGTAAATCGCTGGCTTGTGGTGGAAGATACCGACTTGCCGCTTCTCTCTTCCGTCTGCTCACTTGACACCGCAAATAACCGTATTTTGACAGCACAAACTGGGGAAGGATAGAATACATTTATAATTACAATCAAAACTTCATGTTATATTTTAAAACTTAACAATCTTCCTGCAGATCTGGTTCCATTCAGCTGTAAGTGATTCAGCAGCAGACTGCTTTGCGTTGATTCCAATAACACTGTGTGCGTCCAACAGTTTAGAAAGCAATGGCAAATCACTGAACCTGTCCAGTAAAATCTCAAATGAATGGAACCAAACGCTATGGTCTGTTTGCCACGTCCTGTAACAGGATATGCAACTCTGCTACTTGGGTGTCAGTTACTTGTCAATGGACCAGGGAAGGTTTGGGTGGTCGAAGGCAGAAGACAGACGGTGAAGAAAACAAAAGCACGGGACTAGCCATTCATACACTGAGACGAAGAAGTCAGTTTCGAATTTCCTGGTTAACAGAAGCGTTCAGTCCCTCTTATTGTGTAAAACCTGAGGCGGATCAGGTTCGGCTCAGACTCAGTGGTGGGTCCTGATCTTGTTTGTTGGTTCCTTGTTTCAAATGCACATCACTCAGATCCTAAACGCTGAGCAGCTCTCTGACCAAACACATTGTCTGTGCTAAGATTACACTCTTCCTGCTTTAAACCCGTGTAGTGCCAGTGATCAATTTGAAAGTACTAAATAAAGAGTACAGAACCCTTTCAACGCAGTTTGTGTATCTCTGATATGGTGTTATATTTTTATTACTTTGATGTGGGAACTGATCAACGTCATGCCGACCCGCCTGCACTTCCAGGACGTTATCTTCCCCTTCTTCCCGTTATCCTTCAATAGATCACAGGTATTCAATCAAATCCTGCCAAGTCGGCCTATACTTTGCTACTGAATGCAGCTCACCTGATGCCCTCCCTATATTTTAATTTCATTGCCTAGTAAAATTAAAAATAGTAAGTTTAGTTTCAGTTACCTCATATTTAAATTAAAAATTTTAAGTTTAGTTTTAGTTACTGATATTTCAATTAAAAATGGTAAGTTTAGTTTTAGTTAGCTGATATTTAAATTGATTTGATTCAAGAACTGACATCACAGCACTCGGGGCATTCCCATAAGCGCTTCGTCCCCATCTTCAGAAGCCAGCCAAGAGTTCCGATACTAATGGTGCACGTAGCATTCTGATTAAACGTCCGTCTTGCCTTTCCTCTGAGCCTCGAGCATCTGCCAGAACCTCTCGTCACTACCCACTGCAACAATCTCACCAGACTGTGGTGATACGTCTGCTCCTCCGAACTGTACACACTCTCTCCCACAAGGCACTAACCACATCTGCCTTATCATGTATCAGTATTCCACCAAGTTGTGCAGAGCCAGCCAGTCTGTCCGCCTTTTCATTTCCCAACACACCGGCATACCACGGTGAAAAAATCTAGACAATACTCATCACCCGTGTCCTCCGCAGCGAAACATGCCACTCTGCACGAAGCATGCCTGTTCTGATCTTCCTCAGCATGCTTTATGAGTCTGTTACAATCACGATGTGTGTGTGTGTGTGTGTGTGTGTGTGTGTGTGTGTGTGTGTGTGTGTGTGTGTGCGTGCGTGCGTGCGTCGTGTTCTCTAGCCAGCGGACTTTAAATTAATATCTAAATTAAAAATGGTAAGTTTCGTTTTAGTTAGCTGATACTGAAACAGGACATTAGCGTGTTTCCCCATTTTAAGTTGGGTCCACGTTACATCTTGTGAACGAATTCTTCTTCTCTGAGATCACCAGCTGTTCCAATGAAAAGTTCTGGCTGTTCGCCCACTTTTGAATACTAGATTTATTCCAGGATTTGAGTTCTACATCTGTACATTTGTATGCAGACTGTTCGTTCTCTGCCTCCCAGGCAGTTGCACTAAGACTTCCAAGGATAAACGTATTTAATCTTTAAGACATGTAAAATACTTTATTGGGATGTAACATGATTCTACGATACATATCAAAGCAAAGTGGTTCGGCGTCTCATCATTCTACACACACAAAAGAGAACCCCATTTTCCACACATCTAATTCGCGTCTAATGCAGTAATGCCGACTTCTGTAATAAAAAAATAGGAGACTATCACGTAGTGATACCCTTATTTCTTCTACGGTGTGATTTTCGCACACTTGTCTAAAATCCAAGGAAAGGCCTTTGCTAAACAGCCGGCTGCGGAAACTGAACCCTGGTACGTCGAGGGTTGTGCAATATTTTCACCAACTTCCGAACCGCAGCTGATAATGTCAAATCTCTGATGTTACCCTAACTACGTGACGTGCAAGTAAAGCTGGCAAAGTATGTCTATGCCTTCTTCTACCTTCTTCTAGGCCAAGAAGAGATATATAACCAATTTTGTGTGGAAATTGTCAGTAGACTGGGATGGCTACTGCATCGCAGTACTGAGCACGTATGAGAATGTCCGATAACGATAGCAGTAGCGCAACATAGATTCCCCGTGTGGGTGCGGGGGCCCCATTGTGAGGGAAACATGAATGGACCCATTGCTTCACCAACAAGCATGTCGTAAGAGTTGACTAATACGGGCTTCCTTCTAAGTCTGCATCTGTCACGTAGGTAAGAAACCAACAATCTGCATAGAAATAAGTCAGATCTATAAAACGGATAGGCATGCAACACTCAGATTCTGAAACAAGACTAAAGATCGGAGGTGGACGAACTAATAACTTTTCGCCGAAGTTTACAGTTGGTGAACGCAAAGAGAAAGAGGAAGAAAGAAGATAATAACGTCCAGCAAACGTTCTGTCCTACAAACGAAACGCGCTATGGTCAAACAGACATGAGATGTCTGTGGGCACAGTTAGCACCCGATAACCCTCCTCCTCCGAATTAAAAGGGAAAAGGCTGGAAATCAGATACAGCCTTGCAGTGACACGGCGGTTAACTCTGATACCTGATGATGAATGACTGTCTGGCTAGCCTTTCACAAGCCCATTTATTAGAATCAGTGTTTCCCTAAGGTCGTGACTCCTTCAGTTTCTCTATAATCCCGCTTGCTTGATCTCTTTCTCCCCTTTAAAGGGCAGTTGGTACTTATGTTGCGGTTTACAGCTAGGCTGTGGTATCTGTGTCTGTTGGCCTACCACATATGATTTCAGCAAAGTCCTAAATAATACAGCCATCGGTCTTGTTGATACAGAGACGTATACTGATGTTTCCCGTGTTGGTTCCGGGCCCTATTAAAGGGAAAACAAGAATAGACCCACTGCCTACCCAAAGCATGTCGTTAGAGTCGAATAATTGGGAGCTTCCTTCGAAGTCGAAGTGCCTCTGTCTGAGAGCAAGGAACCAAGTCAATACACAAATGAGTCAGATCGATGGACACGCAACACTTAGGTTCTGAAACAGGACTGCAGTCCAGAAGTGGACGAACAACCAGAACTTTCTGCGAAGAAGCAAAAGAATACTGATTTGAATACAGCCATAGATCTTGCTGTTAAACGCGGAAAGGTCTTGTAATGAACGCAGAGATGCGTTTTGCTGTCAGTGCAGAGATGGGTCTTGCATTGAAAATACAGAGACGGACATTGCTGTGAATACAGTGAACCCGGCCTGGTGATTACAAAGAGGATCTAGCTGTGAATACACAGATGGATCTTGCTGTGAATACACATATGGATCTTGCTGTTAATACACAGATGTATCTTGCTGTGAATTCACAGATGGATCTTGCTGTGAATACACAGATGGATCTTGCTGTGAATACACAGATGGATCTTGCTGTGAATACACAGATGGATCTTGCTGTTAATACACAGATGGATCTTGCTCTGAATACACAGATGGATCTTGCTGTGAATACACAGATGGATCTTGCTGTGAATACACAGATGGATCTTGCTGTGAATACACAGCTACGACCTTTCTGTAGAAGTCGTGCACGGAGCCCAAGATTAAATGACTGTCTACTGGATTATAATGAGAAGCCATGGCTTCAGCCCAGCAGTAGCCAGGTGTTAAACTGATGGATGGTTTTCTATTTTAGGACACATATAAATAAAAGCTTCTTGTACTTAGTACCAACGACAGGTCAGCAGACGTCAGAACTTGACTCATTTACGTGTCTTTTCGAACGGTTCCCTAACGATTCTATGGGAGGGTACAAGCTGTACTGTATGGTTAATAGCTAAAGTGTGAGGACAAGCGGCTATGCTGTGTCAAATACTGCTGTAGTACGAGGTCAAACGGCTAGGCTGTGTTATATACAGCTACAGGACGTGGCCACACGGCTAGGCAGCGTTAAATTAGCTACAGTGGCTTATAATGAGTCATTTACAGTTATCGTGTGTGGCCAAACAGCTATAATGAGTCACATACAGGTATCGTGTGTAGCCGAACAGCTATAATGAGTCATATACAGGGATCGTGTGTGGTTAAACAACTATAATGAGTCGTATACAGTTATCGTGTGTGGCTAAACAGCTATAATTAGTCATATACAGGGATCGTGTGTGGCTTAACAGCTATAATGAGTCGTATACAGGTATCGTATGTAGCCGAACAGCTATAATGAGTCATATACAGGGATCGTGTGTGGCTAAACAGCTATAATGAGTCGTATACAGTTATCGTGTGTGGCTAAACAGCTATAATTAGTCATATACGGGTATAGTATGTGGCTAAACAGCTATAATGAGTCATATCCAGGGATCGTGTGTGGCTGAACAGCTATAATGAGTCGTATACAGGTATCGTGTGTAGCCGAACAGCTATAATGAGTCATATACAGTTATCGTGTGTGGCCGAACAGCTATAATGAGTCATATACAGTTATCATGTGTAGCTGAACAGCTATAATGAGTCATATACAGTTATCGTGCGTGGCCGAACAGCTATAATGAGCCATATACAGTTATCGTGTGTGGCCAAACAGCTATAATGAGTCACATACAGGTATCGTGTGTAGCCGAACAGCTATAATGAGTCACATACAGGGATCGTGTGTGGCCAAACAGCTATAATGAGTCATTACAGGTATCGTGTGTGGCTGAACAGCTATAATGAGTCATATAC